GCCCTCGCTGGTTTGGCTCAATGGATGGAGCGTTGACCTGCGGACTGAAGGGTCCTGGGTTCGATTCTGGTCAAGGGCATGTGCCTGGATTGGGGGCTCAATCCCTAGTAAGGGGCATGCAGGAGGCAGCTGATCAATGATTCTCATCATTGATGTTTCTCTCTCTCTCTCTCCCTTCCTCTCTGAAATCAAAAAAAATTTTTTTTTTTTTAAAGAGAGAGAGCTGATGGTGTAGTTGCAGTCCAAAGGCCACCAGGCTCCAGACCCCGGAAGAGCCAATGTTTCAGTTCAGTTCAAGTCCAAATGCAGGAAAAAAGCCAACATCCCAGTTTGAAGGCCATCAGGCAGAAAGAATCACCTCTTACTCAAAGAAGGATTCGCTTTTTTTTTGTTCTATTCAGGCCTTCAACTAATTGGATGAGGCCCACCCACATTAAGGAGAGTAATCTGCTTCACTCAGTCTATTGATTGAAATGTTAACCTCATTAAAAAACACCCTCACAGAAACCCCACAATGTTTGACAAAATAGCTGGGTGCTTGAGGCCCAGTCAACTTGACCCATAAAATTAACCATCCCACGAGGGTATTTTGAGGATGCACCAAATGAATTTGAATGTGTAGAAGCAATTTATTTATGTTCAGGTGTATAGATGGTGGTCAGCTGAGTTCTCACTATACCTGTGCCTTGTTCTTGGCCTGAAATTTCCTCTGTTGCTTCCAAGATAAAGTATGTCCTTGAGTTGAGGGAAAGGGGTGGGGACAGCCACAGAGGAAAAGGTAAGGGAAGTAGCAAGTAGAAGAATGTTTCTGTTAGTAGCAAAAAGCTAATGGAGAGCCAGGACCTGAGCACCTTGGGGAACTTTAGGATTAAGAAAAAAGACCACTAGAAAGGCTGAAATATAGGGCCACAGAGAGAGGGACCCAGGCAAGGCCTGGTCACACCCAACTAAAGGTTATGGGTGTGGCGCTCACCCACACCATCCCTGTAAGGCTGGATGAAAGTAGGGCTTACGCCATAGTCCCAGAAGAATGTGCTTTTTAACCATCTAAGTGCCGGTCAAGAGCATGTTCATGAACATGTCCTCTCCTGGTCTGGACCTGACTCCGGGGCCATGTCCTTGTGTGGGGGCTAAGCAGAGTCGGCTCTCAGGGGTCCCTGAGCATGTCTACAGCATTCCAGACAGCATGTCCCACGCAGATGCCTTTGTCACAAGGAATCCAACATTGTTGTGGGCTAGAGCAACACCTTCAGAACTGGGCAGACTGCAGAGACCACCAAACCCTATTCCCCACCCCTCATCCCTGCTCGGGGGGCCCCCATTTGGGTCGGGAGGGTGGGTGTGCCCAGAAGAAGGGAAGGGCAGGTGGGTGGGGGCTCGAAGCCCAGCTCTAGGATATGGTTCCTGTGACACCTTGGGCTGGTTACCCAGCCTCTCTGGGTTTACATTCTCTTCTGAGCACAGTGGTTCTCAATCCTGGCTAGAGTCGCTTGCTGAACTTCAAAAAACAACCATGCCCGGGCCCAAAGCCAGACCTATAAAATGAGACTCTCTAGGTGTAAAACCGGGGAACTGGTAAGTTAGAGACATCTACAGTGCATGTCCATCTTTTCTAATTTGCTGCTTCCAGCCTGCCGACTTGGCCACTAGATAACGAAGCTTATTAGGATGGAGTGGGCGGGGGGAGGGGTAGTGATGAGGACAATTCCATGTGGCTCCATGATGCAAAGAGGAGCCACAGGAGCAAATTACAAGGAGGCGGGTTTGGGTTCAAGACTAGGAGGAAAATTCTAACTGTTCCTGCAATGCCTCTTCTGGAATGGCCTTCATGACCAGCCTATGAACCACACAAGATGATCAGTCATGCGTAAATTTATATTGAACGCGTCTAATACTGCCAAACAGGATGAAGTACCTAGTTTAGAAGACTTCGCTCAAAATAGCTTTTGGCTGCTTCCAAAAATCAAATCCAAGAGTTACTGCGTTGCCTCTTTTATTTATTTTTTAAATATACTTTTTATTGATTTTAGGGAGAGGAAGGGAGAGGGAAACAGAGAAACATCAATGATGGAAGAGAATCATTGATCAGCTGCCTCCTGCATACCCCCCACTAGGGGGGCTGAGCCTGCAACCCAGGCATGTATCCTGACCAGGAATCGAATTGTGACTTCCTGGTTCATAGGTCAATGCTCAACCACTGAACCACACAGGCTGGGCTGCGTTGCTTCTTACAGCAAGTTCCTTAACCTCTCGGAGCACCCTGGCTTCTTCCCTAAGCCAGTTGTGAGGATCACCCACACGCCTCACTGTGGTGAGAGTTGAATGACATTAGGAAGTGAAAGTTCCTAATTTCCCTAGTTGAACCTGAATGAAGGTGACTTCTCACACCATCAGGATCTAATAGGACAATATTCATTCCAAGTTCTGGAGTCATTCTAACCCTGGAGTGGAGAGCTCTGGGCCAGGCTTCCACTCCCAGCTTTGCCACCAGGAGAGACACACTTGACCTCTCTGAACCTCGATTTCCTCGTCTATTAAGAGGGCTATGAGGGTCAAATGGGAAATTCTCATAAAGCTCTTAGCACAGAGTCTGCCAATGGCCAATGCTCCATCAATGTTGATGCCTTGTTAGCACTATCACCCTTGAGGTAAATCTATAGCCTGCCTAGCGGCCTGTTTGGAAGGAGACAAAGTTACGTGGATGAATAAGTCTGGTTGCTTGTTATGGAAGCGGCCTCACCACTGTGTCCACAGCTCACCTGTGTTGGCTGAATTCCATTCCAGACCCAGGTCCTGGGCTCAGGAGCTCCGCTCCTGCTGAGCATGTCTGGGCACGAGAACAGAAGCCAAGACAAGTGTTTGCTTTGGAACAAAGAAGGGACAAGGATGGATTTCTGGAGGCGCCCGCCAAGTCCGAGAAAGGAGTCATCTGTTTCTCATAAGATGGAATGCTGGGAGTGGATCCATTTTCCTGAACTGTCTGGGGTAGTTTGTTACCACCCTGGCCAGGGCTCATGTGGGTCGGGAGAGGGACTGCAGTAGGACCAGGGCCCACCACAGCCAGGCCTAGATTTGAAAATAGACTTGATTTTCTTTTGAGTCTTCAAAGGTTAGTCTAAAAATATTTCTAAGTTCCTATGCTCTGCTCCATAACTGGATGAGTGTGTGTGTGTGTGTGTGTGTGTGTGTGTGTGTGTGTATGGGGGTGGCGAGGGCGTGGCTGTGGATGGGGAAGGTGTCCAGGTGAGCAATCCTGAGTCACTGGTTCTGGGAAACACTGCTATAGCCCTGGTTTAAATTTCTAAGGGCTCTTTAACTTCTCCTGTCCCTCAGGATAGGATTCAAGAAACTGCTATCCTGATGCAGCTGAAAGTAGCAGCCTGATTGCAAAGCCCCGCCCTCACCTCCCACTCCCGTGCAGCGCAGAGCCCTGCCTGGGACAAACCCACAAGGCCAAGGTGCTTTTTCCAAGGGGGTTTGCTTCTCCCTATTGAGCTCTCATGTTCATGCTTTGCTTCTAACACCACCACCATTTCATTACACTTTACATACATATATACATACATACATGGCACCCACAGCTCAGTTTTGTGTTTAGTTTATTTATTTATCTTCTAAATGTTGTTATTAGAGTCAAGGCATGGACTAGTGAGGCTCAGAGGCTCTGCTGAATGCTGATATTCCCCAAAGTATTTTGTGCTGCTTGGCGCTGAGGGGACAGTTCATGGCAAAGGAGGCAGGAAGGCTCCCCTTCATCACCCCTTCAATACCCGCCCCCCCTCGTGGGGGCAGTGGTGCGGGGAGATGAAGTTGCCACAGCTTGTTGCAAGTGGAAGGTGGATGCCAGGGGCTGTCGATGCCACATCTCTCAACAGCTCCAAATTACGGCCCCAGGATTTGGATGGAAAGAACTGGGAAGTGTGGAGAGACAGAACCCATAACACCTGCTGCTGAATGAGGACTGCGTGTCAGGAGGAACCACTGACCTCATTGCTGTGCCCCTGAGGCCCATGGGAAGGTCTGGTCAGGTGGCCTGTCTACCTTTGCCAAGAATGACCATCTTGCTAGGGGAGGGTAAGAATCAAATGCTTAGTGAGCTCATTCTGTGAGCCAACGTTGAGCTAAGATCTTGATACACATTCGCTCATGAAATCTTCACTGCAACTATGAGAAATAGGTATTCTCCCAGAGGAGGGGAAACAGACTTAGGCTGAACATTAGCCAGGATAGGCTAGGTTGCCTTGCGGTAACAAACAGCCCAAAGAACCTCAGGGGTTTTATGTAATTAGAGTGTATTTCTGCAAAGCCTCACCCATGTCAAAATTTCAAAATGTACATTGCTTCACCAAATCCCTGAAACACCATGAAGAAGCAAGCAGGGCAAATTTCACAGCCCCATTTCTCGAACCCCACAGCCCAAGAAACTGAAAACGCAAAGGTGAAGAAACTTGACATGCTCAGAGCTAGTCACTGAAATACCCAGACTCAAGCCTAGTGCTTCTGAAGCCTAATTTGAAGTTCTTCCCAATACGTCCAACTCCCTGTCATTTTAGTCTCTGGCAAGACGATTCTTTGCTTTCCCCCAAATTATCTCCTCTCCTCTACCTGCTCACTAATGCCTACAACCCCATCATCGGGACATCCTGCCTTCACTGGGGCCTGTTCTGGGGGAAGTCATCATCAATGTGTACAAAACAGTTCCAAGTGTCACAGTGTGAGGCCCTGGCCAGGTAGCTCAGTTGGTTGGAGCATCATCTCAATATGCCAGGTTGAGGGTTCAATCCCCAGGCAGGGCACATACAAGAAAGAACCAAGGAATGCATAAGTAAGTGGAATAACAAAGAAGTGTTTTCTCTCTGTCTCTCAAAAATAAAAATAAATTTAAAAACATATGTATCATTGTATAGCCTTAAGTTTAAGAACATCTAAGACAGAATTCAGAGAACAGAGAATCAGGGCGAAGGGGAGGGCCCAGGAAGGCCGCGCTGAGAAGCACTGACCTTGATAAGATGTGGGAATTCATTCCAGGTGGAAATTCCCTCCTCATTCTCTTTCCTCTGTTCTACTGCAGTTTAAAATGTGCAGCGCCTTCCCGTTTACTATTGTTCCTGGACAAGTCTGTTAGTGGACTGAGAAGTTGGTCACATCTTTTTTCCCTTTTGGCCAAAAACGGAAACCTAGAGAGGATAAAGTGACTTAGCTAACATGAGAGCAAACCAGGGCCTGAACTGGAATAAAGAAGCAAAAATGTTACAGAGTAATAATTATCAATCTGTTGTGAAATATTTCATATATAATGGAGTTTATATAATGCATATATAATATTTAGAATAATAAAATGCTATATCTACCACCCGGCTTATTATCAATGTTCTAAAGCATTAAGTCACTTTAAATTATAAAAATGGGCCTGGCCAGTATGGCTCAGTGGTTGAGCATTGACCCATGAACCAGGAGGTCAGGGTTTGATTCCTGGTCAGGGCACATGCCCAAGTTTTCGGCTCTATCCCAGTAGGGGGAGTGCAGGAGGCAGCTGATTGATGATTCTCTCTCATCATTGATGTTTCTATCTCTCTCTACCTCTTCCTTTCTCTCTCTGAAATCAATAAAAACATGTATTATTTAAAATTATAAAACTGATATATACTCACCTTAGCTGCTTTGGCTCAGTGGTAAGAGCATGGGCCTGCAGACTGAAGGGTCTCAGGTTTGATTCCTGTCAAAGGCAGGTTGCAGGTTCCATCCCTGGGCCCAGTTGGATGTGTCTCACATCGATGTTTCTCTCTCTCTCTGTCTCTCCCCATCCCTTTCATTCTTTCTAAAAATCAATGGGAAAAATATTCTCAGGGGAGGATTAACAACAACAACAAAAGATATATAGTCTTGGTACAAAATTCAAATCATGCAGAAGATGGAAACTTTAAAGTCCCTTTTCCCATCCTGTCGACCTCTGAATTGCACTCCCCAGGGAAAATGGCTGTTAACAACTGAACACATGATTGTATATATATTCATTTTGGAAACCAATCCAGCAATATATATCAAGAGCCATAAAAACGTCTATAACTTTTGGGCCTGTCACCCCACTGTAGGAATTTACGCCAGGAAAAGACCTCCTAGGCTTCCTTCCCTTCTTAGAGACGGTCAAGCTCATTACCACACACCTTTCCCTTTGCTGTTTCCTCTGTCTAGAACTCTGTCCCCCCCGATTTGCTCATAATTGAGTGTCCATTTAAGTCTCAGCTCAAATGTCACCACCTCTGAGAGGTTGCCCATAGTCAGGCATGTAGACTTGCTCCCTCTCCCCAGAAACCACCTGGCACGCAGTAGGAATGCAGATCTTAGTTGAGGGGATAAATGTGCACTCACAAAACTACCACCTGATCTATTAGGGAAGGGATGTTATTTGACTCACCTTGGAACCCAGGCAGCTGCTCCTGCAAAGAAACCATTCATACCGGCTTCACCAAACAAGAAAAGTCTGTGGGAGGTCTGGCCGGCCTGGGGCTGAACTGCCAGTCATTTCTTCCGGCTGAATGGCTGCCTTTCAGATGTAGATACTGCATGGAGGCATTCTAACCTAAAGCCTTTTCATTCTTGGCTTCTAAAACAAAGAAGAGGTAGAGAAAATCCGTGAGTGAGAGTCTCCGTCAGAATATCACCTAGGCCCTAGTTAATTAGGATGAATAATTGAACACTCTCAAGTCAGACAATGGAAACATTAAGAGTTTCCACCAAAACATAAACTTGGCCAAGTGGGCGGGGTGTCCAGAAGTCTCCAGAACATTGGGGGTCAGAGGGATGTCTTATAAAGCCTAGGGGTAGAGGAAAGATGGGTGAAAGAGATCTAGATCCCTACCCAAGCCCTCCAACATTTGCTAGGTTACCTGGGCTGAGTAACTCTAACTTTTTTCCTTATAGAAAAATAAAACATGTTTCTATAGAGGAGTTAAAACAAAAATTAAAACCTACCATCTAGAAAGACAATATTGTTATAGTGTCTCCTTGTAGCCTTTTTTTTTCTTAGCATACTTTAAAAAGTTAAACTGTGATTATATTATGTACTGCCTTATAAACTTTTTGTCACTTAATAATATATTGTGAACATTTTCCCATGCCATTAAACACTACTTAATGCCGTAATTTTTTAAGACTGTGTGGTATTCCATAGTATGGCTGAGGCTGTATCATCCAACCGCTGCCCTGTCAGACATTTAGGTGGTTCCCAATTTTTATAAGCAGCTTATCATTTACTATTTCTTTTCTTTTCTTTTAAAAATATTTTTTTATTGATTTAGAGAGAGAGGAAGGGAGAGGGAGAGATAGAAACATCAATGATGAGAGGTAATCATTGATTGGCTGCCTCCTGCACTCCCCCTACTGGGGATGGAGTCTGCAACTCTGACCAGGAATCAAACTGGAGACCTCTTGGTACAGGGGACAACACTCAACAAACTGAACTACACTGGCCAGGGCACCCTAAATAAATTCTATATAATAAAAGGCTAATATGCAAATCGACCAAATGGCAGAATGACCCATCACTATGACGCACACTGACCACCAGGGGGGAGATGCTCAATGCAGGAGCTGCCCCCTGGTGGTCAGTGTGCTCCCACAGAGGGAGCGCCGCTCAGCCAGAAGCCAGGCTCACAGCTGGCGAGCACAGCAGTGGTGGCGGGAACCTCTCCTACCTCCGCGGCAGTGCTAAAGATGTCTGACTGATGGCTTAGGCCCGCTCCCCTAAGTGGGCCTAAGTCATCAGTCTGACATCCCCTGAGGGCTCTCGGGCACAAGCAAGAGGGCGCAGGCTGAAAGGGTGCAGGGATTCCCCCCCCTCCCGCCTCCTGAGTGCACAAATTTTGTGCACTGGGCCTCTAATTTAATAATATAAAAAAATAAATAAAGGAAGACCTTGATCTTTCTTGTTCTCTCTCATTAAATATTTAGTTATGTTTGCCACATACGCATTTGTATTTCATGTGTGCCTTTTATGGCTGGCTACCCAGTAGTCCTTTCCAATCCCCTTCTCCATTTTCTGCTTCCTATTATGGACAATGAAAAAGCCAAATATTCACTTTCCCAGACTCCCTAGCAGCTAAGTGTGGCCTGTTGAGAACCAAGGAGACATTTGTTATTGGGATGTGGGGACCTTTTTTCCTTTCTCTCTCTCTCCCACACATACACACACCAAGAAAACTCTTATCACCTTGGCCCTGTCTATGTGGGTGCATGATTCCAGGAGCTGTGGCAGCCATCTTAGAATCATGAGGCAAAAGCCTAAGGATTTAAAAAGGAACCTCTGGTAATGGTTAGTCCTCAATTACATCCGGGGATCAGGGGGCTGCTGTACCTACACTGGAGCTGTTCAGGAATTTAACTCCCAAAATAATAACTATGGTTAACGTTAGTGGTTTTCAAAGTTAGTGGTTAACAAATTAGAACCACCTAGGAATTTTGTTAAACTAAGATTGACTCGGCAGGTGTGAGATTCTGTATTGTTAGGAAGATCCCAGTTGATCTTGCTGCTGCTGGTACAGGGACCACACTTTGAGTAGCAAGCATCAGTTACACTAGCTCCATGTGTCCTAACTGATACATCCTTTTCCTGGATGCGAAGGTCACCCTCCTTATTTCACAGGTGCAAGTATAGGGAGCCCTCTGGGAGCAATAAGACAGCAGGAAGGGCCCCTCCCTGCCAGGGGTCCATTAGCCACTGTGGCACCAGCCCCCAGCTGGTGGGTTCCTAAGTTACTGCATCATCCAGGGATAAGCCAAGTCCCGTTCACGAGGCTGTGGAGTATTTGTGGAGGCGCTGCCCTGTGCTCGCTACCCCAGCCAGGCCACTTTGTCCAACCAGACCCACAGGGGCAGATTCCTCCTGAAGCAAAAGGGACTCTAACTAGTGCTCATCCTTTTTTGGGGACCTGCCTCCACCAGCCTTCTCCTCAGCTACACTCCAGGTAATGAGGGGAGGGGCACTTCAGGTAGCATCTTTCTGTTTGGTTACTAAAAGTCAGGTCTCCAAAGACAGTGGTGGTGAAACTTCAGGCCAGAGAGAAAGGATACCGGCAGGAGCCTCCTACAGACTCATCCACATATTTATCCTTGTTTTTCTCTTTCCTTCCAACCTCAGGAAGACTGCAGCTTCCCCACTGACACACAGTGCCTGCCTCTTTGCGCTCTGAAACCCTCAGCAAGGTCACAGTGGCCACAGGATTCTCCTCCTTCTCCCTGCAGGTCCCACGGGCCCGCCTGTGGCTCCATTTCTCTGTTCCCTGGTAAACCACATCCCTCAGATTGATTTGTCGGTTCTTGTACCTCCGTCTCCTGGGGTCCCTTCACTCCTGTCCTCACTCTCATCAGGCCTAAGTCCTTGCCACCTGCTGAAGCTCTCTAGTCAAGGTCACCATGACCTCCAACTTGCCAATCTAAGCATTTCAGGGTCAGTCCCTGTCTCACCTCTGACTGCAGCTTTGGGCACAGTGAGGCCCTCCCTCTCTCCTGTCTGTCTGATTACCTTTGTCAGCCCCCCCCCCCCCCCTGCCTTCCCCTTACCCAGCTCATCCTTTCCTCTTTTTCAGTCTCCTGGGCTGGTTCAGCCCCCTCTTCTGGACCTCTCCAAGGTGGAGGCCCAGGGCTCAGCGCTCACTCCCTGTCCCCTCCCTTCTAAGTGTCCCCAGGGATCCCATCTCTCCCACAGCTGCCAGTTCCATCTACAAGCTGTTGAAATGGGTGTCACCAGCCTTACCTCCCCTCCGTGACCCTCACTCCAGATCCATCAGCCTCACACCTCTAGCTGCACACTCGGCATCTCCCCTAGGGTGCCTGACAGACACCTCAAAGAGAATTCTTAAAATATATATATATTTTTATTGATTTCAGAGAGGAAAGGAGAGGGAGCGAGAAATAGAAACATCAATGATGAGAGAGAATCACTGATTGGCTGCCTCCTGCGTGGCCCATACTGGGGATGGAGCCCGCAACCCAGGCATGTGCCCTGACTGAGAATCGAACCTTGACCTCCAGATTTATGGGCCTACACTCAAAAGACCCTGGAGCGGCACTGAGACTGTGAGAAATGCTGATGCCTGGGCCCCGGCCCTGGGGATCCTGACTTGGCTGGTCTGGCTGTGAGCATCTCTGGGAGGGGTGAGTCACTCAGTGCCATGAACAATGCGGCCTGGCGGGTGTTTCTGAAGGAGCCCGGTGCCAGGCCCTTGCTGGCTGCTTGGAAATACAAAGGGATGTGGTTTCTCAGAGTTTCCATTCGCCTTGGAAAGCCAGACTCAGGAAGTGAGCTCAGGGTTCTGGGGATGAAGTGCAGGGTGAGGGGAGGAAATGGCTGCCGTGAGGGGCGTCTGCACTGTGCCAGGCCGGCTCCGTTGGTTCAATCTTTCCTGCAAACCTGTGTGTTGGTGTAAAAAGGACCCAGGTGGTCACCCAGGCGTTTGGCCCCGGAGGGCTGGGAGACCTTGGACGTTTGCTGCCCAGGTTAGGATCCCACCAGCCCACCCGCCTGCCCCCAGCCCTCCGTTTCCATGTGCCCCAGGTACAGACCTTGGACTTTGAGTCTGAGCTCCCGCCCTGGGCTTCTCCAGCCCTTTTCTTCATCCTGGGGACAGTCAGGCCAGGTGACCCTTACAGCCAATGACCTTCATAGATTTGGGGCTTGGTACCTAGGAAGCCAGTGGAGCTTGGCTGGCTGCATGCTAGAATCACCTGGGGAACCTTTGAAAATGCCGCTTAGCCCTGGCAGGTTAGCTCAGTTGATTAGAGCCTTGTCCCGATTAGCCAAGGTTGTAGGTTCAATTCCAAGGTCAGGACATGTTCAAGAAGCAACCAATGAGTGCATAAATAAGTGGAACAACACTTGATCTCTCTCGCTCTCTCCTTCCTCTCTTTCCCTCTAAAATCTATTAAAAATGATTTTTAAAAAGTTAAAATGCCCTATTAACTTAAAATCTCTGGCAGTAGGATCCAAGCATCAATATTTTAAAAAATTCTTTATTGTTGAAAGTTTTACATGTGTCTCCTTTTCCCCCCATTGACCTCTCTCTGCCTGCTCCCACCCACCAACACATGTCCCCACCCTCCCATTGTCTGTGACCATTGGTCATGCTCATATGCATGAATACAAGTCCTTTGGTTGGTCTCTTACCCGCACCACAACCCTCCCCTGCCTTGCCTCTGAGGTTTGACGGTCTGTTCAATGCTTCTATGTCTCTGGATCTATTTTTGTTCATCATTTTATGTTGTTCATTATATTCCACAAATGAGTGAGATCATGTGATATTTATCTTTCTCTGACTGGCTTATTTTGCTTAGGATAATGTTCTCCAGGTCCATCCATGCTGTTGCAAGTGATAAGAGTTCTTTCTTTTTTTATAGCAGTGTAGTATTCCATTGTGTAGATGTACCACAGTTTTTTAATCCACTCATCTGCTGATGGCCACTTGGGCTGTTTCCAAATCTTAGCTGTGGTGAATTATGTTGCTTTGAACATAGGGGTGCATATATTCTTTCTCATTGGTGTTTCTGATTTCTTGGGATATATTCCTAAAAGTGGGATCACTGGGTCAAATGGGAGTTCCATTTTAATTG